AAATAGGTCTTGTAAGAATCCATTCTAGAAGATGAAGCTGCCAAGTTTCCCTATTTGCTTAACCAGTTTCCCACTACACTAAAAAGTTTTCAGTTTATCAATATATTTTATACTAGTATAAAAATTTCTTTTTAGCACTATCAAGCAAACATATTAATTCAGAGATGAAAAAGTCCAGGAAAAAAACTTATAAAGCTACAAAAACTAGCTATCTATCAGTCTTCATCCAAATAAAATAACAAACAAAAAGCAACAAATAGAAAGCAAGCAATAAAAAATCCACTATTTTAAGTAGAATAATGAAATCCTTGAAGAATGAAAATGTAAATATCTAGCTGCGCAGTAGAACTGCTTGCATATATCAAATATGCTATGATAATAAGTAAGCCTTCCAAGCAGATCCTGGCAGGGAGGGTCAGGTTTTAAATTTCCATAGCAGCAGTCCCGAGAAATGTTGCACCATTATTTCCCTTGTTCTAGCAGCTTCACCCAACTGAAAAGGAAAAGCATTCTGAACTGAGAGCTATTCAAATAACCTGGCCTGTTGAGCCAAGGATTCTAGTCAGAGTCCCCTGAGAAAAAGGTCAGAACACTGGGTGTGGTTTCATGTCTTTACCTATAGACACACAGACAGGTGGAGTACGAGTTAATCACCCACAAAAAAGCCTGCTCAACAGGATCCAAGTTCTACGTCAGAGCTTTCAAAAGAGTATTCAGACAAATTTACAATGTTTCTAAGATAAGCTGGTGTTTTTCCATCCCACTAAAATACTGCTTTCATTTAAAATGTGAAATAAAGATTGTCTGAGCTTACTTTATTAAGCACTTATTCAAGTATATCGAATAATTGTAATTATTTCTTTATTATTAAACTAGAACTTTTTTCATATTTTCCTAGAAATAACATTGTGAATAAATATAGATAGTTCAGCTATAACCTATTTTACACTAACTTGTTTATGGAGTGCATGTTTAGGAAAAAAATGTTTTAAAATTTGTGCTATATATAAATAGCTAGTTATTATATAGCTTAAAGTAGCCACCTAAACAGTAAGGTGAAAGTTTATATACAATAGCTAGCTTCTAGTAGTTCCAGAAACCTGAGGAATAGTTAAACTATCTCCTCAGAATTTTAAAAGATACATAGTATTTATTTACTTAACAGATTCTTAAAAGATAAATAACATTAATTAATTAATTCATGTAGTATTGAGGCCAGGTAGTCCCTCAGCTATAACCTCCGCCACTTTTGGTATTTTATTTTGAGACACAGTCTTGTTCAACTGTCCAGGCTGCGATCCAGCTTGAGATCCTCCTCCCTCATTTCCCCAAATTGCTTGGTGTAACGGCAAGCGACATTACTCATAGCTGTAACACACTTTCTAAAATGGAAAGATTCTCAGTTGTTTTAAATAAAATTTCCTTTTTAATTTAATTCCCTTGTTTTTTTTTTTTTTCCTACCAAGTAACTAAATATTCCAAATGCACAAGGCTTTTATCTAAATGGAAAAACCCATGCTAAAGAAAGCAGGTAACATCAACAATAATCTCCTTAATAGCCAATCTCACTACATAAAGCTGTTTTTGAGGACCTGGTTCTCAAACCCTTTGCAACAAGCTAATAGTTAATGTGGAGAAAATGAAAATTTTCCAAAGAAAGTCCTGAATGGGTGTTGAGAGATGACTTATAGCTAAGGAGGGGTAGGAGCCTCCTATAATTCTGCAAAGTTTTGTCTTATATTCTCTAGTTAGACTGTAAAGATGTCGTAACACCTATACAAGATAGAGACCTAAACCTATCACCATAGCAGCTAAATGTGATTTTAATGAGAATTCAGAAGATCTCAAATTTCCAATACCCTGGCTGTTCCACTTTATAAATGAGGGGGACCTATGAAAAAGTCCATAAAATATCTTTTAAAATATTCTTTCTCTGCAAGTTAGTTTATTCTGGTAACTTGTTGGCCAACATACCTGATTTGAAGTAAAAATGAAACTTTGTAGAGGTAAAATACAATCCTTCATAAATAGTAAAATTTAGCTCAAGGTATAAACTAACTACAAAAAGAAAAAAAATACCAAAAAAGTTTTTTTTTTTTTTTTTTTTTTAAAGTAACAGATTAGAGCTGGGGATTTAGCTCAGCGGCATAAGCACCTGTCTTGCAAGCTCATGGTCATGAGTTCAATCCTAGATACAAAAATAAATAAATAAATAAATAAATAAATAAATAAATAAAGTAACACATTAAGATGACTTAGAATAGACAAACAGCTTCTCTAATAGCATACAATTGATGGCATACTGTATTAATTGATGTTCAGGAAGAAGACTCTAAATGAAAATAATCCAAATGATAATTCATTATTTTTACTCATTTTGGGAAACGTGGTTTGTGTCTAGATGTCCACCCAGAGCCTCGCGTAGTCGTAAGTGGGGCTTTATAGGGGTGGCAGGATCTGGAGTGTATGATGTTGGGAGCAAGGATGTGTGATTCCTAAATCAGTGTGCTGATTGGTTTGGCATGGTTCTGGGTAGGATCATGGGTGCTCCACCCTGGTTGTGAAGACTATGCAACATAATAATGGCCAGCCTGGATAAGACACAAGAACAGAAAGAAGCTGCTACTACCACTTGTCTCCTGTCTCTTGTTGCTTGCTTGTTTTTGCTGTCTTCTGCCTGCCATGGACTATTGCTCCTCTGTGATTCCCCTCTATCATGCCACCTAGGAGCCAGTCAACTATGAACTGAAACCACTACAAACTGTGAGCTGATCTTCCCTCCTTTAATTTTGGATGCCAGGTATTTTGTCTCTTCAATGAGAAAAGTAACTAAGATACATATAAAATGTTTCTATCTATACTAAAAAAGCTTTTAAGTAAGAAATATCCTCTATTGAGTAGGAACAGTGCTCAAAGTAAGAAACTAACCAAAAACAAAATGTAAAAAATCAGAGGGAAAAAAAAAGACTAAAAAAAGATTAATAAAGATGACTTACAACAGTGGCACATGGTGACTATTACAAGAATTCAACTTACATTCAATTTTGATTTCCCCCTCTGTTTTACAAAGCATATAAACCTTTTTGCAACCACACCTAAAGTATAACTTTAATTCTTAGAAGCACACATTTTTAATTATTGTGACTATTTCATTATCCCCAGATTTCAGATGATCAAGATTTAAACAAACCAGATACAGAAGATGAACTATCTCATGGTTTGTCTTATATGAGAAATTCAAAGTATAACTTAAAGGACATAATAAACAACAGATGGTAAGAAACAGGGAGGCAGACCTCGTATAAATGGGGATGGAATCTAGGTAAGGACAAAAAAGGGAAGGAGCATTTAAAAAAAATTAAGGTGCAATAGTGTAAGTACCAACTACCCACAATGAATGTATTCACTATGTACTGAAACCATGAATAATAAAAAAGAAAATTTTAATATATATTTGAAGGTTACTGATTTGTAATACTGGCGTATGTTTCCTCAATGAAACAGCTTTGCATCAGTCACAAAATGTCAAATCATTAACCATTTAACCTCCCCTTCACACAAACTGCCCTCAAATTATAAATACTCCTGCTATTGTCTTTTGGGCTTGACTTATATGCTTATTTCTCTGAATTATTTAATGGAATAAATTCTGTTTATATTACTTGACAGAGCCCCAATCAATGCTAAACATACTTAAGAGAGCACTAGATGATAAAATGTTTTTCAGCACTTTATCATTAAATTTAAAATGACAAAACAAAATCTTTTATTCTCAGATTCCTCTTTGAGAATATATATTTAAGCACATAGCTTTGATTCTACTATTCTAAAAAGTGAGAATTAGTAAACTTGTGAGAGTTTATCACAGAGAAAATCATTCTGTGAGAATAAACTGCCCATTCATTGATTTCTTCCAAGTAATTCTTGCTCCTTTCCCCCCCAAAATACTGGAAACTTAGTGAATAAAGTTTGAATTCAAGAGATTATCTTTCTAAGGGCCTTAGCACAGTTTTTAAGCAGTTTTCATCACTCTACAATAAAAGCTACTCTACCCAGTAAGAAAATGCCAATATATGGAAATTATACCTGTTTTAATGGTGATCTCTGAAAGCAAATGTGAAGCAAAACCCATTAAATTAAATGTATTATTACATAAACTTGGACATACCATTGGGCAAATTATCTCTCCAATCACGTATATAGTATAAACTACTGTATCTTGTGAAATTAGCTTATGAGTGCTTATCCAATGCCCTTACACATGGTAAAGAAAATACAGTTCAACAGTTCTTTCATTAAAATAGGGTGCATGTTTAGACCCTAACGCAACTTCAAACCTTAAAACTAAGTACAATGTTTATTTAGTTTTCACTGAAATTACACAGCAAATAAAATCACTGAAAGAAAAAAAGAACGTTGAATATCAATAATATCTGCTTAGACCTTGAGGCCTTTTAAATGTTTACCTCCCCAAAGCACCTCATAGTCTTTCCAAACTAACTGGAGGCACAGTCTTCCTGCAACAGAATATACTTTTCACCAGTACTCCCATACTCCAACAAGGGGGCTGTACAAAGCCTATCCTTCTGATCTATTTCTTCTTTTTCATCATTTCTAATTAGTACAAACCATTCCAATCTAGAGCAGGGAGGGAAAGCAGTTTCCTCCCTTTCAAGCCAGTGCTTTCTTGTTTTTTCAGAACTAGGTATCATGAGATTGCCACCTCTATTTCTTTAAAGTTGATTAAGACTAAAGTTTTAATTCTCTTCTACTCTATGGAACTGTTCTTACCAATGTCACTGTCAACAATCATACTGAAATAAAACCTTCATATTCCTAACCTCTCCCTGATACTGCATCTGAAACTTTTGGAAAACTTTCATGAGTTTTATGACATTATTCTCTTGAGTTTCTTCTTTGCTCTATAGAATTATGTGTCTTTAGTCTCTTACACGTCACCATTTTACATTTACCATTGTGTATATTCTTTAAAATCATGAAGCCTGTGATAAATTCCTTTAATTTTGGACATCATGTATAAAACAGCATGTGCATTCTGATTGCTTCACAGGACTGAGGCCTGAATTTTGGGAAAAAAGAAACTAAAATGAAAATGAGAAAGAAAACTATGACTTCGAATGCCTTAAAATGGTAACAACCTCCAATTTAGTACTCTCCAAATTTCACATACCAGTGAATTTCTTTAATGAGATGTCACCTTTGTGTGCTGAGACTCAGCATATCTAAAACTGACTTCATATCTGCTTCTTTTGCATTCTCTATCTCACTAAACTAAACAGTCGACAACTGTACCCAAGATCCATGCTTAGTTTACTTATTCTCATCTTCCACATCTAATTAGCTGGTAGATAAAAAGATGCATTCTGAAGCCAAAATGTATGGGTTCAATTTCTACCTCTATCACCTCACCTGTAAGTCTAAAGTGACTTCTCTACTCGTTTCTGTTTCTGTACCTCTCCCTGCGTGTGCCTTTACTATCCTCTACCTACTCCAGTCTGTTTTTAACAAGACAGTCAAAGGGATCAGACTGGAAAACTGTTTAAACAACAATGACCTTTAAACAGCAAATGAAAAAACAAACGTGTATGCATTCGTGAGAATTCCTCATCTACACAAAGCAACAAACGAAAGGAATTATAAAAGCGCACTGTTACAGAAAGAAGGCACATTTAAATAAAATACAATTTCATATGACACTTTGGAAAAAGCAAAACTGAAGGGAACCGAAGGAAACCAAGACAGTGTCTGACATAGGCATGGGGTGGGAAAGGCACGGTGATGAAACTTTTTGCATTATGGCAGATACATGATGCTGCATCTACAACTCAAAGAACGGTCCACATAACGTGAAGTTTATCACGTGTAATTTTCAAAATACACAGAAACAGACATGGAGACAAGGGTTATAGACACACACACATTTTCAAACTCTTCACTAAGAGGACTTAGACATAATGACATGCTAGTAACAATGAATATAGTTAGCCCCAGATTTTGTTTTCTCAATATTATTCTTATGCAAAAGGAACATGAGTTTCCTGGAGAATAAAGCTGGGATTTGGAAACTACAAGGTGGTCCTTGTAGTTTTTACAGCATAAATACTGAAAAAGTAGCACTTCAAACAGGCATAAAAGCCAACCTGAAAAAGCTATCAATTCCAAAACAGGAACAAACTATTATGGTATTAAAGTGTAACAGGCAAATAAAATATTCATTAATCTATACTGCAACTGATTAGTTAAATAAACATGAATTAAGAGATATTCCATACAAATTCCAAGTAAGTAAGTCAAGAAATGAACAGTATTAGAAAATCACTATTAGAATACCATAGTAACAATTACTTATGAAAGATTCAACAATGGATGTAAAAGTTAAGAAACAGAACATCTGCATAATATCAAAGTATCTTCTCAAGATAGTTATTATTTTTAAAGTGAAAACAGTAATACTACAGATAGGAAACCTGCCGATACCACATAACATCACCAATAAGAAGACACTGAATTCATGTGACCCTTGACATGACACACTGAGAAGGGCACATAACTTTTGTGGTATCATAAAAAGGTACAGGTTGCATGTTACTGTGAAAAACTATGAGGCAAATCTCTGTTAACCAGCACTACTCCCCCCACCACCTCGTCTGCTATTCCTAGTTATTTTTAATTTAATAGAGGGTACATTAGTCACATTTTTGTCTGAACAAAATATGGGACACCTAAAATGAAAATGAGGAAAGGTTCATGTTTTCAGAGGGTTTGGGCCATGGGGTTTCTGGTTTCAAGGTGAAAAATGCATGATAGAAGAGCCTGGCCAATGAACGCTGTTCAAACCATGCAGCCAGGAAGCAGAGAGACAAAAAACTAGAGCAAGAAAAGTATCTTTCACTTATGCTTCTAGTAATTCACTTCTTTCAAGTGGGCCTCACTTCCTATAACAGCACATTCACTATTCACATATTCACATAGCACAAATGGAATGATGAGTCAATCTACTGATGAGCATACAGCCCCCATGATCCACCCACCTTCCAAAAAGCCCCATCTCCAAGTACCTGTGACTTCAAGGGGTCACTTTAGATCTATGCCATAACAGAGGGTCACACTAAGTTACCTAGGCTGGCCTCAAAACAACAATCCTCTTGCCTCAGTTTCCTTTGACCAGTAAATTTTCTAGTGTCAAGGTAATAAAAGATGAAGGAAAACTACGGAGCTGTCAGACTTAAGACGGTAAAAGAAGACACAACAACTAAGTACAATGTGGAATCTTGAAATGTATCTTGGAACAGCAAAGAACATTAAAAACTGGTCTTCATTTACTCCACAGCAAGTGCTGCAGATCTCCTGGGCTTGCTGTAACTTCTCTCTACTCATTACACACCTTGCTCTGGCTGCACTGGCCCATCTGTCAACCATGCCTCATGGCCTTTGCACTTGCTGTCTGTCTGCCTGAACATTGCTCACTTACCTATGTGGTATAGTGTCCTGCATTTTCTTTAATAGACTTATATCTCACATTATGAGAGCCCCTTCCCTAATTTTCCTATAAAAGACCTTCCATTCTTCTACCATAATCTATATTTTCCCTCTATTAATTTGTTCTTTAAAGTAGTTATCACCATCTGATATACTACGTGTCTAGTCACTATTGGCTCCTACTGTTAAACCAAAAGCTCTTGTGAGCAGGGACTTTGTCCATTTTGTTTACTGCTGTGTTTCCAACACATAGAATAACTGTCATGTAATAGTTATTAGACTTCTGGCAAGATGGAAAATGATGAGTATCACAGAAATACCCTCTCGTATATTTGGAATCTACAGGCCAGAATCTAACAATTTGATGAAGAGAAGCAAGAGTGAGTGGACCCAGCAAGGACCCAGCAAGGATCTGAAACAAGAATTGGAGCCCATGGGGCAAGCAAAGACAGGGACCACAATGCAGAAGAGGGAGGTGGCATCAGTGCTTCTTCCGTGAAACCTGGCTTGCAGTGTGGGAGGGGTGGCTTGAACCTATAGAGGCTTGGTGACTGCCCAGAGACCTCCACAGAGAAACACAACAATGGAATGGGGCAGTGGATGCTATAGACTGTGGTGGATGGTGAGTGATTAGGGTTGAGACCCACCCCCACGGCAACTGGATGGTAGCCATTATGGAAAGGGGCCAAAAGAAATCAGAACTCTGACTAGCTGTGAGTTGGTCTCATCTGGAGGCTCCAAGTGTCAGGATGAAGCGCCGTCAAGTTCGAGCTGCCAGGAGGTCAGGGAGCCAAATTCAAGACAGTAGGAAGTATGCAAAGTGGGATGTGGAAAGAAAAAACTGAGTTCAGCCTCACAGCCAGAACTTCAGTGGAACTAAAAGCCCAGGTTTGTTAGGATTATCCACCACTGTCAAAATTCTAATTGCACTGGCTTGCTGGGATGAATCAATATAGATATGCATTCTGTCCCCCCACCCCCATCAACCAGTGACAACAGAGATATAACCTGAGGTGGATATTTTTTTTCTCTGCTTTAATTCATTTTTTTATTTTTCAATTTATTTCTCTTTTTCTTATTTGTTCTTGTTTTTATAAGACAGAGAACATTGCTTCTAGTTTTGGGGGTTGCTGTGTTGGCCGATGGTTTGTTTCTTCTTCTTTTCCCTTCTATCTTCTTCACCAGTTCCCAAAGCTTCCTTTGTCCTCTAGCTTTGCTTCTAATTCCTTTTTCTTGTTCTACATCTCTATTTTTTAATTCTTTTAAAAATCATCATATTGAGGGCATATTCACTGTATATAACTCTGAAATTTGTTTTAGATTTGGTTATATAACAACAAATCCTGTTCACAGGGTTAAAGGTAGCAAATTAATAGTTACCACAGTTTGTCATTTTCTAGAGTGTATTTGATGCTATTGTTATTACTGATTTTCTACTTTAGTCAAGGTGACAGTTATTTTAATCAGTTTTTCTTCATTCTATGCCAAGAATGAAATTTCCTGAGGTTAAAAACAATAGTATACGCAGTGTCAAGAAACAAGAAGTAGACCAATTAGGCAGCAACTTTTCATCCCCAATAAAATGAAGAGGTAGGATTTTACAAAGACTCAAAACCCAAAAAACCAGGGGTAGCTGTTCTTTTTGCAGACAAAGTGAATTACAACCTGGGACTGATAAAGAGAGACAAAGAAGGTCACTACATCCTTGTTAAACGAACAATCTAAGAGGATGAGATAACAATCATAAATATGCATGCATTAAGTACCAGTGTATCTGATATATAACACAAATATTAGCAAACAGGAAAAATCAAAATAACCACTAATACAATTGTATTGGAGGACCTCAATACCCCCTTGTGACAATTACATAAATCAACTAGACAAAAAAATTCAAAAAAATATCAGAGCTAAACCAAATTTTTCAAAAAATGCACTTAGTAAATGTATACAGTGTTCATTTCACAGCATCAGAATACACATTTTTCTCAGCTATACACAGGATGTTTTCCCAAATAGACCACATAATACCTCTTAGAACATGCTGAAGTAAACAGAAAAGGACAGAAATTATCCCATGCATATTATCAGACTACAGTGTAATAAAACTGGGAATCAATGGCAAAAGTGACCACAAAAAATTCATAAACATATTGAAGTTAAAGAACACCCTCCTGAATAAAATATAGGTCACAGATGAAATTAAAGAAGAAACTGGAAAGATTCTGCAGTCAAATGATAATGCCAATACAACATACTGGAACTTAGTTGTATGGGGGAAATTTATAGCAGGAAATATTCACATCAGAAAAACAGGATGAACGCAAATAAATAATTCCGTTGAATGTTGAATCTCAAGCTCCTAATAAAAGAAGAGCAAGTCAAAACCGAAGCTCATACAAGGCAGAAATTATAATGATTAGTGCAGAAATCAAGGCAAAGGAGACTAAAGAAACAATACAAGAATTGCTCAATGTAAGAGTTGGTTCTTTGGAAGATTAAATAAAACTGACAAACCCTCAACCTATTTTATCAAAAAAATGGAAAGAAAAGACTCAAGTCCATGCCATTAGGAATAAAAG